CAAGCTAGGCGAGTGGCTCCAGCAGATCCCGGGAATAACATCGGAGATCTCTGTCCAGAAGAGCGCAGTCCTGGGAACAGCTAAGATACTGCGCAGAACCCTCAAGCTCCCAGGCCTCTGGTAGAGGACCCGAGCTTGAAGGATAAACCGCCCGCAGGGGCGTGCTGGGTGTTTATATATATATATACACATACACATATATACATATATATATATACACATATATACATATATATATATATATATAAATAAAAGTAAAGAAGGTTAAAAATATGGGGTTGAAAAGGTGAATAAGAGATCCCTTTAAATGTACCACATAAATGCCACGTGTTCACTATTCACTTTATACAGTCTATCATATAATACACTGTGTATAGTGTATACTAACTGAGAGACAGCTACCACTGAGAAGTGTACATGCAAGGAAATAAGACAAAGGAATGGTCTTATTTCTAAGGTCTAAGTGTAAAGTAACAAAAAATAAGAAATGTCCCCTTTCTATTTGTTTAGGTTTTACATACAGCACAGACAGAAAATTTTTCTCTTTCTTTGCCTAATTTCTAACTTGGGATTTCTTTTTATGTATTTTCTTGTCATTTATCAACCAAAAAAAAGTACCAGTATATCAGCAACAGGCCAATCCTGATATTTGGGCCTGTCCAATTTATCATTTTAGTTCTAAAATCAGCCACAAGGTATGGTTTCCTACATAAAATCTACTTAATATTGTGAGGTGAATAGTGAAGGAGTGAATGATTTCAGACAGTCTTTGGCATCACTATTGAATTTCAATTAATAATGTTGAGTGCAGGTGCATTTTCCCTCTTGATCAAAGAGTACAGTACGCCCGGGCTAAAGGTATGTGTGTGTTTGTGTGTGGGCGTGTCCCAGATCATCATACCTCATTAGAGATGCGCCGATGGTGATTGTTCCTCATACGGACCCTCACTGGACTCTGAACCTCATCAGAGGACGTGCCGGATGCTTGGTCACTCTCCCCATCTGAACCCATCTTCACATTTTCATGGACAATGCCTGTGAAACACAAACGTGCAAAGACTTGAGACTTTTTTCAGGGATTTATGTCTTAGAAAAAGTAAAACAGGGAGAGAGAGGAGATGCGACATGCCTTTGGTACAAGGGCGGTATGTCCTACCCACTAGGCTAAAGGGGTGTCCCTTGACATAAATACCTACGCGCAGGTTTTTAGATTGTGTTTAATGACACCCTATTTCATTTCACTACTCTCTCTATGGGATCAGAAGAAAACAAAACATCTGTCTTAAATTTCACTCACCCATTATGTGAATGACACAGTAGGACCCCAACCCCCAAATGATGAATCATACCATCAAGCCACACAGGGGTGTAAAACAAGTGTATAAAATGGTATTGGTAAGATGAGTAAGTACGAGATCAATATTACCCTGCGTGCAATAGGAGCTGCCATCTCTGTGTGCCAACCCCCCCACCACCACACACCTTCATGTGCCCCAGAATCCATCTGATTAATGAGTCACGGTGCAGCAGACAGGACTGTCTACTTCAGTGATGTGTGAGTTTGTGAGTAAATGTGGGGGAAGGGTGGAGGGCTCTCTCTTTGTCTGGGTCATGTACAGCACACACAGTACGTGTGTGTGTGTGGGGGGGGGGGGGGGGGTGTCTCCCTGGTGTTTGTTTTGGTAAAGATAACTTTTTTCATGAAACTGAAGTAGGCTGAGTGCAGTTGCAAGCTCACACCTTACAATCATGTACCGTTTACCCATAAAACATCAGCTCCCAACAGCAGAGCACAGACAGATCGAGGGAAGATTAGGAGACAGTGGGGTGGATGGTTTTGGTTGGAAGAGCTGATGAAGTGGAAAGAAAAATGAGTCCCCAGAGTCACTGCAACACCTCAGTTGTGGGATTTAACAACTGAGGGCCGGTTAGGTAAAGCTATTTATTACAGTGTGCTGTCTGTCAGCTGTGAAACATCTGAGGCTTATTCTAGGATTTGAAACAGGCTGGTCTCTGGACCAAAAAATATTTGAAAAGATGGAAAACATAGAAAAAAGCACAGATAAGTACTTCTAAAATTGGTTTAAATTGGTCTTTATTCAGTCTTTATCAAATTAATAAGAGGGCATAGCGTTAAAAATAATCCTCTGACTCTGTAGTTTCCCATTAACCTAAAAGCTGAATGATACCTATAGTGTGAAATTATATCTTCTGTAAGTCAATTACACAGTGATTCTTGCTCTCGAGAGTTTAAATTTAATTTTCAGGTTCTATAAAAGTTCTAAAGGCTTGTTAACCTAACCTCCTACAGTGATGAGGTGGTGGTACAGAGACAAACAGCCATACTGTTGCATGACCTAGACACAATATCTAGACAGCTATTGCTGAAATGTAGGCATCTAGTGGGCCTCCAAGTCTGATGTATAGTGCGCAGCCTCAAAGACAGGCACAAGGATACAGGGAATGGATATACCTTTGTAAGAAAATGTCTTTTGTCGCATCAGGAATCAGGAATTAACCCTCACAACCAAGATGGTGAAACATTACACTGAAGGTAAGTGACACCACAGGCTGGAGAAACTGATCCGGGATATCTACTGACAGATACACGCACAACCACACGCATGATGAGTAAGCATCACTGATCATGAGTATCACATGTCTTTCTCACTTTCTGAGAGGTCCCGATCTTGTGTGTTTATGTAAACAGCAGATGTGGGTAGATGAAACAGGATGATCTGACCAGGGAAGTAAAATTCCAGTTAGGGCTGGGCCATATTATACCGTTCACGGTAATACCGGTATAATGTTAGGCAACGATAGGAAAATGAAATATCGCGATAGAATGGGAGTAAAACGCGCATGCGCAGTGCCTTTGTTTTCATACGCACATGGCCGATTG